ATGGAGTGCCACACAGTGATGGCAAATTTAGTCAGAAAGAAAAAATTTGAAGAGTTGATTTTTTGGAAATAAAGATAAAATTCGATTTTTTCTGGAAAAATTCGATTTTGTCCGAATTTTAGCAACACAAGTTCGATTTCAAAAATTCGCTATTTTGGAGCTAAAATTCGATTCAAATTCGAATATCGAAGCTTCGAATTTCGAATTTACCCATCCCTAGACAACAAGTTACAATTCGAGTATCGAAGCTTCGAATATTGAATTTACCCATCTCTAGCATGTAAGAATAAAATATTTTGGCCAATTTTGGCGATATGAATTAATTTATAATATTTACTTATTTTTTTTTACTATTAATTAGTTCTTAAAGCTACAAAAAAAAGTTTCATTCTCCTTATTAAAAGTGAACTACAAAAATGCAGTGTCGTGCTTGTATGCAGACTAATTGCCAAGTCCTCCTCGACATGGGCATCGCGTGTACAGAGGATGGCAAAAATCTGTACGATTGCTTCAATGAATGCACGCAGTTAGAAGCACGTGCCAATGATGGTTTACCCAAAACACTTTGCAAAATGTGTGCACAAAAACTTCAGATAGGCTTTAACTTCAGAAAAAGTGCTCGCCAGTCGCATGAAGATTTCATGAAACTTTTAGCATCCCTAAAAATGGAGACGGAATCGGTACATAGTTTAACAGAGGAATCTTTGGCATATGAGGTAAATATGTATGCTGCATAAACGTACATACATATATATACATACTTATCTATTGCCAAATTATACTCCTATTGAACAGAAAGAAGGGGAAAATACTGGTGATCCTTTGGATATGGATTTTGAAGAAGCTGTAAGGGCCTTACATGGAACAGAATTAGATCTTTTCGTAAAGGACGAGTCGACCGACCAGGTCTTAGAGGAATCACAAGATGTAAAACATGAAAATGAAAACTCGACAGAGGTTCAGCTGTCTAATTTGTATGGTGTTACAACAACAACATCGACGGAGGGTTTTGGGGAATCGCAACATTCAATAGAAAAAAACCAAAAATCGACGGATGTTTTGGAGGAATCACTACTAGAATCGACGGATGTTTTGGAGGAATCACTACTAGAATCGACGGATGTTTTGGAGGAATCACAACTAGAATCGACAGATGTTTTGGAAGAGTCACAAGATGTAGAACATAATAATGAAAAATCTATGGAAATAGACAGATCAGAAGAGGAGGTTGACCATTTTACCGAATTAATACCCGATTCATCATATGACGATAATATACAAAATATAAAAGCAAATGAATCAGAAACAGATGAATTAGAAGAGCAGTGCATAACTGAACACACAGATAAAGTAAGATACACTTGCGAGAATTGCAGCCGCTCTTATGCAACTAAAAAGGAATTAAAAAAGCATATTTCTAATCGACACAAATGTAAGTTTTTGTTTAAAATTTATGTGCACATATGTATATTTGATTTCTATCATAGCTGATATAATTTGCATAAACTGCTCAAAGGTGTTTGAAATGCCTAATGATTTGAGGATACACAAAAAGCTTGTTCATGACACCGAATCACCAATACAATGCGATTTCTGCCCAGAAAAACCTGTTATGCCTCGAACGGAACTTCTTAAACATTTTCAAAACTACCATAGTTGTCGATATTTTAAATATTTTCCACGTTTACGTAAAAAACGTACTAATTGGTTAGGGGATCCTATTCCTAATGAATGCAAATATTGTGGAAGAACATTTCCATCTGAGTTCGATTTGGAAGATCATATAAAATCTCATGTATTTCAATGTCCAATCTGCTCGAGAAATTTCGGTAGAATAAAAGCTTATTATGAACATATCAAACGATTACATAACAGCAGAGCAAATAAAGTTCCGCCACTCATTGTTGAAGGAACTGAAATCGAAGAACAAATTTTCGAATGCAAAGATTGCAACAAAAGCTACACGAGACTGGGCTCTTATAATACACATATGAAACAAAAACATCAAGTAACGGAATCAAATGCTATAAGTGATAATCCTGTTAAACAGTTCGACAATATTCACCAAATCGACTTTTCGGATAACCCTACAAACATAGAAGGCAACGAATTCACTGAAACTGAAATGGAAGGCACCGTTATTGAACTTATTCCCATGGAGTCGGATGTCATAAAAGATGATCAAGAGCGTAGAAAACCGTCTAGAAGAAAAGCGCATAAAAATTCAGATGGTCAAAAGGAGAAAAAGAGCTATCTATGTTCATTTTGTCGTAAGTAGGAAAGAGAAAATCTTTTATACTTAAGATTTTAAGAACTTACTTTTAAATTCAACAAATATAGTGAGGGGATTCATAAGTCGTGTTAGGCGTCGTATTGTCTTAAAGGGTATAAAATTTCTCGGCTTGTCCATCAGCTTTATCGTCAGGTTCAGCTATAGGAAGGCCCAGGAAGTTGGCAACTTCCACCGGATCTGTCCATAGGGGCAGGAGGAGCCTTACAGCGCTCTTACACGGCATGTATTTGCATATCGTTCACAAAGGCCCTATCCAAACCCTTTTTCGAAACTGCGTTTTTCACAGATTTTGGTAGGCTGTATTAAAATCCACGTTCATTAAAAAATATGTTATTACCCACAACAACAGTGTAACGTTCCACTTTTTAAAAAGCAATGCCGGTTTTTGATTCCCATTTTATAATGGTTTTTGCTTCTGTAAAATCAAAATTTTGTTGGTTATGGCCTTTGTGAATTAAGGTAACGATATGTATATGCTACTTTTTTGCTCATATTTACAATATATTAGAACGTATAAGAAAAGTAGCGCTATTAGCTGGATGAGTCATGTGGCGACTCTCCGCATGCCGGGCATATCCGCGTTCACTCTACACAGGTACGAGTTTAGCCTGCTGCAGTAGCCAGAGCGAAGTAGGGCTTTTGTGGTGCGAATCTCCCGAAGCAGACAAGGCTCTGTCTCGTTCACATCGAGTGTTTGTAGCTCGAGACCCCATTTACGGCCTATCGGTATGCAGTTGGGTCCAGGGGTAGTTTTATGAACCTTTGGACTTCGTTCGTGAGTTCGTATAGATGCCTCCTTACGTGCCTTGACCTACTAGGAACTGCTGCAGAGCCTTGTGTTATGCTCCTTGACGGGTGTAGTTGTTTTGGTGTTGTTTTGCTTGGGCGAACTCCGGTGTGCCGTGGAGACGGTCCGGTGGCTCCACCCGTTGCAGTTGTATTGTGCCTGACCGAGGTGGAGTTAGAATGCAATCGTCTCTGGCATACACCGCAGATGTAGCTTTCCGGCCCTGGGTTTGACTCTAAGCCAGCCCTGAGCAGAATAATACGGAGCACATGTAGCCCCATATGGGAACAAGGTTTTAGGGATTTTGCCGACCTTGTTCGGGTAATACTTGAGTCATTGCGGTACGTAGAACCGGCTGTCTTGGGAATCTTCCTTCTTTTTTGAAGTCAGCTAAAAACATTTTGGGGACAAATCACCTGAAAAGGTATTAACCGTTATTTTACGGGGAAAATTTGGTAAGACATTACGACGCTTAACATATCTTGAGAATGCATTAAGTGATATATTTTTAATATTTTTTCAGCACGAGTGCTATCTACTAAAGCTGCTCTAGAATCGCATGAAGGAAAACATTTAAATACTGAGCCCGATATGAAGGAGTGCCCATTTTGTCAGAAAAGGTTTTCAATGGAATATATAAGAAAGCATATTGATCTCGTACACATTGCTAAGCGTAAATTTCATTGTGATATTTGCCGTGATTCTTTTAAAACCAAGGATGGTCTTTATCGACACAGACAATTGCATTCTAAGGAACGGGATTGCCCATGTACAATATGCGATAAAAGTTTCCCTAAGAAAAGTGAGCTTGTAATACACATGCGATTTCACACGGGGGAAACGCCTTTCACCTGCCACTTATGTGACAAACGATTTCGAATTAAAGCCCATCTTACAAATCATTTGCGAAAGCATGCTAACATCAATTTTATATGTACGGTGTGTGGTAGAGAGTTCAAGAAAGCAAAACACTACAAGACCATTCATATAAGCATACCGGTGGAATGCCATATTCCTGTTTAATTTGCGATTACGGTAGTGCACGGCGTGAAAAGTAAGTCTGCTAAAAAATTGTATTGTTAAATTATTTGATTTTGACGTTTTCCTTTATACAGTTTTACGTGTCATATGCTGCGCAAACATGACAAAGTTATGACGGAGGCTGAATTATTTGCAATGTTCAAAGCGAATACTGGTCGCTCTCCTCGCGTAAAGCTAGCTGAAGAATTAGAAATGATAAATGCAATGTTTCCACCCAGAGACCCCGACTGTTCTACTGAAAGTTAAGCGCTAGCAAGCAATTTCTGTACAAGAGGTGGGTAACTCAACTCAGAGTTAAGTTATTGAGTTGATTCCTATAAGTGAATCGGTAACTCAGACTCCCTGTCCAAAAAAATCCAAACTCAGTTAGTGGGTCAAATATTCGAAGTAAAGTGCACTAGCGAAGAGCAAATTTGATCAAAGGTATCATCGCGCGTTAATGCCTCACAATCCGAGACCGGAATCAATTTTACAGAGATTCAACATAGATTGGCGTAGACCGATTGAACTCATTCCGTCATTGACTCTGCCGGCATCTCCTTGAATTTCCATATAACTCTCACTTCGCCACAGTGTTAGCATGGCAAAGTCTTGCAATTTGTTTTTGCACGAGGCGAATTTATACAAGCTGGTGGCAAGAATACAACAACAACAACCATATGTATTTTGTATTGCGGGTGTTATGCTCAAATCTCAAAAATTCTTATAATTTCCGATTTTTTTTTAGTTTTTCTCATATGATTGTAAATATATAAGATGGCAATCATCATGAAATTCCACATTGAAATTCGGGAAAGTTTTGATATAAGCTTTTGAAAATATTGAAAATTCCACCTTTACCCTTCCCCTGCACCGCCCCTATTAATGTGCACAAAAAAAAAATTACACCTTTCAAATCAGTAAAGCTGACAAGGCGTATGTTGCCTAAGAGTCGATACGAATTTAGACGCTTTTACCAGCATATGAATTAATTTGCTCGCATAAGGTGAAAAGGAAGTCAGGCTGCCGTCAGTCGTTTAAATGTCTTCGGCATTTCGTGTCCATTTGACCAAACACTGATCACGAATTGACGGTAGATAAAAACACAAAATGAGAAATCTTTCAAACTTGAGGATCAGTGATCATACAAGAGGTTAGTTGAATGAACTGACTCCTTAAAGTGAGTTGGAGTCATTGAGTCAACTCCTATAAATTTGCTGAGTTACCCACCCTTATTCTCTACATTTGTAAGTCCCTTTTCAGACACGTCAAGTCTTGCTTTCAAGTTGTTGTTGTTGTTGTAGCTGGCGAAGGAGGTGCGTGGAAAGGGGAAGACTACAGATACCTCCGTACCATCAATTCGTTTCAAGTTTTCTTGTCTCTTTGATCTTTTCGTTGCTTCCTATTTAAAGACCAAGACTCAGTTCAATTAAAGTTGACGCGTGTGGAAGCAAAAAGAAAACAAAAGAGAATGCGAAAAAAATTGCTTTCAAGACTTGACGTGTCTGAAAGAGGCTACCATACCAGAGTATTATGGGTCGATTAGGCCGTGGTTATGCCCAGGGTTGCCACTGTACGACAAAAAATACTTACCATCCGCTTGAAAAAAATTCCCAAATCTGGAAAATATCTACCAATAACTTTTTTATAATTATTTTAATAAAAACTGTAGTTATGTTATTTGTTTAGTTATTTCAATAAGAATTAAAATTGTTTTTAAGGAATTTTTTATTTAACTAATTAAACGGTATTCAACCATGAAAGTGATGAAACTAAAGGCAGAATGAAACTTCATCATTTAAAAAACTTCATCTCGAGTTACTATAAAATAAGTGACTTTAAGCTGCTAGGATTTTTATGTTAATATGCACAATGTTTTTCAAGTAAAAAATATTTGTTATTTTTTTGCGTTTTAACCAACTCCATATAAAAATCAAGCGATTCAAACTATATACAATATTTAGAAAAATTCAAAATTCTGTCAGTAGGTACTAATTTGTACTGGAACCTGCAAATTTTTACTGGAAAAGTGTATGATAACCCAAAAAATTTGCAAGAGAGCACTGAATCGAGAGCGTAATAACACGGGAGAGCTGCAAATTCTTGCTAGTGAAATTTTTACTAGCAGAAGAAGAAGAATAAATGTTCAAAAGCCGCCATTTGTTGAATTGGTTTAGTACAAACAAAAGTAAAATGGGTGGAAATCAAAAATGAATGATGGACTGGACTATGTGAGTGCATTGTGTGTTAAGCCAAGGGTTTAAAACTGATTTATAAATAGTAAAATGTTTACGGCAGAATATCAAAAGGGTGCAACAACTATTCACTTGCAAGTTTTTACTAGTTTTGTGTTCAATAACATTTTCTGCTGGTTTTCTCTTCTCCTTAGTATTTGTAAAAAAAATGGAAGTACAACAATTATAGATTTATAATATGATACGTAAATGTGTTGTCAATAGTAACCGTTACGAAATACTTCGCCATGACTTTACATGTCTCTTACTTATTGGCGTAAAATTGTAGTTTGACGTTCCCATTAGTCATTCAAGAACAGACAAATATGTTTAATAAAGTGAATTTCACAACAGTGTTGTACAAATGACATGTAAACAAACCGACTGACGTTTTTACAGGAAATAGTGCTTTTTGCGTTCCTATGCACTTCTACATCTGTTCTCCTTTTACTCTCATTTGAGAGCGTAAAATTGTAGTTTGACAGTTCCACAGGTTTTAGTCCGAAGTTCAAAGGCAACAGACTAAATGAAAACGACGAGCTACAAACCACAGCTGTCAAATTATTTTAACACGTACTCTTATGTAGATAATTATTTTGGCGACGACCGGGCTACGCAACCGCTGTGGATTAGTGGCTAATTAATACTCACATAAGTTCTTCCTCATTCTTTTATGTCAAACTCATACAAATTCATGATGTTGCTGCGCGCTTTCAAAGAAATCACGTCGCCATCGACAAAGCGTTTAGATAATGAAGATGACAAATTGGAAGCTGTGGTCCGTAGCTCGTCGTTTTCAATGTGTTCAGAACTTATAGTAAACCCCATCTTTTAAGTATGAATACAAAGAAGCGCAAAATTTTTAAGGCGCTCACTATGTCCTAGACACACCCACGGGCCATGGGTATATCAAGAAGAAGTGGGACGAATTAAAAAGAATATTTTAATAGAAAAAAAAAATAGAAAATATTAATAATGTTGCCGCAACGAAGTTACCGCGAATATGAAAATGTAGCTGTCAAAGTACCAAATTGTTGACAATATTTATCAAGATAAAATCTGATAATTCTGCCCTATTCTGCATTTCGATTACGTTCCCGCATTCAGCGCCGCAAGAATCGGCCTTAGGTAACATGCGTTACGATCGAATCGAAAGAGGAAGAGAGAAAACATCTTTCGAAATCAGCTGTTTGCCTAGGAATGGGTGAAATCGAAACAAAAAGAAATATTGGCAGCTTATGAAGTTGGAGTTTGTAAATATTTTAAAATAACTAAATATATCTAGCATCACTGTAATTTAAAAATAAAATTTCGTTTGCTCTTAATTTAAGTGGAAACATAATTATAAGAATGAAATCCATAGCCGCGGCGTTATTGCTTGAAGAGGAGGACGAGTCCCAGATTGCTGATTTAGGGACTTGTTTGATCCTTCTCAGATGAGTGAAGAGTAATAAAAAATTCATCTTGAACTGTATTACTCATCGCTCAAATCCAGTTAAATTATAAACGTTGTTTGAGCACTCCACAACATTTGCATTTACTACAGAGTGGAAGATTTGAACGCAAATGAATTCCATTTTGAAAGCCGTCAGGAGGAGGGGAAGAACAAAGCTTATCCTTCCATAGCAAATCGAATTCGAGACAACATACACACCTCTTTAAAAAAAATAGTAAAATCGAGTGCAATAATTAAAACATCTTTTTTATGTAACTTCACATTTTATGTATGTATGCACGATGCAGCGAAGAAAGGTGGTGCCGTCAGTGGTACCGCTACTTTGGTTTTGCCGATTTTGACAGTTGTGGTAACTTGTAAATAAACCTTTGTTTACAAATCAGCGAAAGAGAAATTTTAATTATAAGTGAAAAATCAGTTTAAATTGTGTTAATTTGCAATTTGTGAGTGATTTTTGAGTTGGAGACTGCGTAAAAACTAATACAATGAAGTGATGTGTGTTAAATTGCGACAGCCGTCAAGATGCAAGAAGCGTAGATGCAAGTGTAGCGCTGGGACGAATCGCTGCATTTTGTGTACATAGGGCACGGCAAAGCCGTTCCCGAAATGTTTCTCTATTATTATATTAACAGCATTTCCTCACAATGATTTTGGTTCTGCTCCTCGCGGCCTANACATCTTTCGAAATCAGCTGTTTGCCTAGGAATGGGTGAAATCGAAACAAAAAGAAATATTGNTCAAGATAAAATCTGATAATTCTGCCCTATTCTGCATTTCGATTACGTTCCCGCATTCAGCGCCGCAAGAATCGGCCTTAGGTAACATGCGTTACGATCGAATCGAAAGAGGAAGAGAGAAAACATCTTTCGAAATCAGCTGTTTGCCTAGGAATGGGTGAAATCGAAACAAAAAGAAATATTGGCAGCTTATGAAGTTGGAGTTTGTAAATATTTTAAAATAACTAAATATATCTAGCATCACTGTAATTTAAAAATAAAATTTCGTTTGCTCTTAATTTAAGTGGAAACATAATTATAAGAATGAAATCCATAGCCGCGGCGTTATTGCTTGAAGAGGAGGACGAGTCCCAGATTGCTGATTTAGGGACTTGTTTGATCCTTCTCAGATGAGTGAAGAGTAATAAAAAATTCATCTTGAACTGTATTACTCATCGCTCAAATCCAGTTAAATTATAAACGTTGTTTGAGCACTCCACAACATTTGCATTTACTACAGAGTGGAAAATTTGAACGCAAATGAATTCCATTTTGAAAGCCGTCAGGAGGAGGGGAAGAACAAAGCTTATCCTTCCATAGCAAATCGAATTCGAGACAACATACACACCTCTTTAAAAAAAATAGTAAAATCGAGTGCAATAATTAAAACATCTTTTTTATGTAACTTCACATTTTATGTATGTATGCACGATGCAGCGAAGAAAGGTGGTGCCGTCAGTGGTACCGCTACTTTGGTTTTGCCGATTTTGACAGTTGTGGTAACTTGTAAATAAACCTTTGTTTACAAATCAGCGAAAGAGAAATTTTAATTATAAGTGAAAAATCAGTTTAAATTGTGTTAATTTGCAATTTGTGAGTGATTTTTGAGTTGAGGACTGCGTAAAAACTAATACAATGAAGTGGTGTGTGTTAAATTGCGACAGTCGTCAAGATGCAAGAAGCG